AAAATAGTATTAGAAATTGCTTGAGGGGTAAAATATTGTTCATAAATTGCTCTAGGGATAAAAATACTGTTAAAAAAAGAATATTAAAAATTGTTCGAGAGATTAAATAGTATTAGAAATTGATAAAATCGTGTTCAAAAATTGCTCGAGGTAAGGTATAGCACACGGACGTCTTATGGACGTCTAAAAGACGTCCTACAGGGACATAAAGGACGTCCGAGGGACGTCCTCTTTTGGAACCGGGACGTCAATCGGACGTCCAATGGACGTCCTAATGTCCTATTTCCGTCCATCTTAGGGACGTTCCTGGGATATCCCAAAAGGACGTCATAGGACCCTTTGCGGGACGTCCTACGGACGTAAATCTGATGTCCAAGGGACGATGTTTGACCATAATCCATAAATGGTAATAATAACAAAAATGTTAACAATAAAATGGCTTTATTTAATAACTTTTATCCTCAAAAAACTAGCTAGAGTTAAACGTTTTCAGTTTACAAAAAAAAAACAGGAATTAATTAAATTTAACACACAGCGCTGGTAAGATGAAACCTTGGGTCCTACTTATAGCTGGGGTCGACATAACTGAGTTTGATAATTTTGTCAAAATTAGTTTTGTTTCAACTTTCCGCCATTAAGGTATTTTCTTTCAGCCAGCGGCTACCGCCAATACAAATTATTTATTTTCACCTCAACACAAAACATTCACCAACATCAAATAATAACAAATAACACTATATAACCTTCTTTTTTCTTCGTTAATCTAATAACTCACTTATATAAGTTAATTATTTAATCACGAAAATTGTAGCTGTTGTTCATTTGAAAATAAATAATAGGTTAGGTTTTCTGTCCTCATACTCTTGCAAAAACAAAACTTTGAATTTCAATTCAAGTTATCGATTGAAAGACCAACGATGCTAGTACATAGAAAGTCCCATAGACGTCCCATTAACGTCCTGGACTCGGACCGACAACCAAACGCTTTGTCGAAACGGGACTAAAATAGGACGTCCAGAGGACGACCTTCGAAGGACGTCCTAGTGTTCACGGTAATCGGAAGTCCAGTGAACGTTCTATTTAGGTCCGGGACCAACCGGACCAACAAGGGACTAAATCAGGACGTCCATGGGACGTCCTGTGCTATATCTGGGGTAGTATTACAAAATGTTAAAACCTCAAAGGTGCCGTGTAGATTTATTTTAACCTCGATGTCAAACAAATAATAAAAAAAAAATGTAATACGACCTAAGTTCAACCTTTACTTGGAATTTGGTACACTCAGAATATTTAAATATTGTATATTTTTCAAAACGTGTAGATTTGAAATTTATAAGTCACTTTCTTTGAAAAAACATGTCAAAACGAATTTGGACCAAAAATGGCGTCTAATTTAACTCTAAATAAACCCCGAGAAATCAATAATTACTTCATGTAATGTAATAAAGATGGTGCTCCGATCGATAATATTTTGACTAGTATTTGATTATTTCCGTTTATATTATGTGTGTTTACGGGGGATAAACGAGATGATAATACTGCCTCTGATACTGTTTATATGATACAATTGGAAACGACCTTTTTTCATCGGCACTCTTTTTTCGCCGGTGACCTTTTGACACGCGCCTATTTGTTATGTTATGATTATCGGTTATTTATCAACTAAAAGTATAGGAAATTAGTACATTGTGAATGATATCATTTTAATGCTATTTTTGAAACTAGTTCAAAAGTTGCATTTAACGATACTCAATGTTTCATTTTACCGTCAGTTTTAGTTTGACATATCCGTCATTTTAAGTTTACAAAGCTCAGTTTCTATTCGAAAGTAAGAGAAACAGTCAAAATAAAATGCGAAAAACACTTTTTATCAATTTCGTTTATGTCAACTGAAAGCGACAATTGCTGAAGACGTAACAAATAAATTAGGTCAAGAAATAAAAAAATCTATACTATAAGTAACATACCATATATTATACCTGTTAAAATAAATCAAAAATAAAAGAACGTATCGTTGACGTATATACTTTTCCATCTGTGATTAGTGATTACCAATTGCAAATTACGTATGAACATGCTTATGCGCAAAAAACCATTATTTCAAGTACTTGTATGATTAAAGTCCATTAAATTATTATTTTTATAAATTTGCTAATCTTTGCACTTTAATTTTCATTATATGGGGTATCCAGACATTTTAATCCTCGTCCTCTTCTATTTAAAATTATCTCAGGTGCCATATATTCCGAGTAAAATTTTTCTAATTTTTCAACCATATTTAAAAAAAAAAAAAATGGGTTGAAAATTAATTTTTTCAACAAATAGTGGATTTTCATCTCCAGTATATACTACAAAGTAGCACAATTTTCTTGGAGCTATACCTAGCTGTCCTTGAATCTAAAAGTATATAAAATCATTATTAGAAAATCAAACATAAAAAAAATATTAATATTGTAGTATCATTTCTAGCACATTTCTTAAAAATCATGAATTATTTTAACATATTGAAATTTTTCACCTGGTAAAAGTAGTTATGGTTTTCTTTTAAATGAATGTCACCATCTTCTATTTTTAAGCATGGAAATGGGTTTGAATATTAGGTAATGTGCGCCAATAATGTCAAATTATGACAATTCGCAGAAAACGTCAACTTTTATTTAGATTTTAATGTGCAAAAGCCTACCTACTTTGGATATTAATCGTAGAAAAAATATATTCAGAATAATGAAACATTATTATTAAATAACAAGTTTTTTTATTGTCAATTTAATACGTAATATTATTTTTTAATTGCAAATATTTGAATGTTAAAATTATAGCGTTTAATTTTTTTATTCAATGACGAACTCGAGAGTGATAGAAAAAAAATACTACCTACCTTTAATGCAGGAAGTCAATGTCAATTTATCCAAAAATAAAACTGATTAAAATGTACACTAGGACACTTGGCACAAATAAATAAATTTTCTATTAAAGAAAATAACACTTATTAAAAACAAACAGCACAATAAAACACTTCAGAAACGTGTAATGTAATTTTGAAAACTAAATACCCGTAAACTTGTTTGTAAATTTATAGACTCTTAACTCCTTCCCCCAGCCTTCATTAAGTATATTAAAAGTCGTGACGTCATATTGGCACAGATATACGGTAATGTGTTATTGACAATCAGGGAAATAACTACCTAAGTAAGATAAGATAAATGAATGTTAAATACCTACTCATAATATCTATTGTAGGGTTTTTGTACTTTAATAGGATAAATATTTATGCGGGTCTGGAAATTCCAGGAAATGACAGTCAAAATTACCCAAAAACATTAGGTTAGTACCAACATCAGATAACAGATAACTTCGGTGTTTAACCAATTAATCACAATTAATATTCTTGAACATTCAAATGACAAAAACTTCCATCTTTAACCAATGAGAATATAGTTTTCATTCGATACTTCAAAATCACAATTTATTAATTAGGTAGAATAGTTTTAAAATATATTGCGAATTGCAACACGTCAATAAGCGTCCCACTCCGACTCAATGTGACGCAATTATTGTCGCAATATATTTTGAAACGACTCTATATTCGTGACTTGAAATTATAAACATCCCTCGTATTACTACCCGTATATAAACCAAATTATTTATTTTAGGAAATATTTATATTTAATGTAAGGCAAGATATCGTTTTGGTTGTTACCATCTACATTCTTTACTTTGGTCCAGGAAACAAAGTCAATTTTCGATAAAAATAAAATTTAATAAGTAGGTAATATTTTATGAAACAGTACAATAAATGTATTGAAATAAAGTATGCTCATACTCCAAAATGAGTCCTAGAGTTAACATTTTTATAATATTATAAATGGCATATAAAACGATTGGACCGTTTTCACAATCGCGAAATAATTTTTTTTTATTTGGTGAAATCCCGGCAATTATTGAAAAATAGATTTTATGTTCAGGACTATTATTATGATTCTTCGAACTCAGTCTACTAAAAACCGGTTTATAATACAATATCCCCTAATAGCTAGTCGGTCGATATTTATAGTTACTTAAAGATTTCTGTAATAATTTGCACTAATTCAATCTCTAGTCGGTAGGTAACAGCACCTCCTTGATTGAATCTAAAGTGACATAATTTTGTTCAGAAATTCCTAGGAGACGCTGTCCTTAAAATTAACTCGAGAGATACTGTTAGAAATTTCTCGAGAGATAAAATATTGTACAAACATTGCTCGAGAGATAAAAAAAGTTGTTAAAAATTGCTCGAGACATAAAACATTGTTAAAAATTGCTCGAGACAAAACATTGTTAAAAATTTATCGAGCGTTAAAATATTGTTATAAATTTGTTGAGAGTTAAAATATTGTGCAGTTTGCTAAAGAGACAAAAAAGTAGTTAAACATTCCTTGAGAGATAGAATAATGTTAGAAATTTATCTTAAGATAAAATATTACTTAAAAATAGCTCAAGAGATAAAAAAAAGATTTAAAA